ACGTAACTACCATTACCACTGTTATAAGTGCAGCCCTAAGTTTTCAATTTATGAGGATCGACTATTCACCTCCCCTTCCTCTCGAAAGAGCGGCATTGAACCAATGGTAATAACTAACCTCCGAGCTTCTCTCCCTCCCCACCTCTCTCTCTTCTTCTTCTTCTTCTTCTTCTTCTTCTTCTTCTTCTATGTTCCACCAGTTGTCGCCCCCTTCTCCCCACTATCATCCCACTCGAACCACCACTGTAGCTCCTAGCAGCGGCAGCGTTCTTCACTACCTCCCTTGAAGATTTGTTGTTCACCTCCCCCAACCTTGTAACACCCGAACGGCAATGACGACAGCCCCCTCCATCACCTCTCTCACTGTTGTCACAAACTGAGCAATCCTCTCTCATTGCTGCAATAAATTGTAGTGGCAGGTTTGAACCCAGTCAACAGCAACTCAGTGTTCCCAGATTGTGTCGTCAAAATGACTTCCCTGCATCACCAAATGAACCAAGAATGTGTAGTCTGATGTAGTTAATCTTAAGTGATTAATTTCCCAGCAACCCAACAGCATTCAACGTTCTAAGGCTACACCGTGGTAACGGCCTTACCTCACACTCAAACATTTACATTTGATTTGGTTCAATTTCTTTTTTAGCTTTCTCTTTTGTTCTTTATCTTCTAATTGCATTTTTTGTATTTTATCCTTGTGAGTGCGAGAACATTCATGCTTTCCGGTGTCATGCTTTCCGGTGTCTGAAGGGATTGACATGCTCCCTCAACACGTCCAACCGGCTAACCAAGTCTGAATGTGAGGGTTATGATAGAAAAGGGGTGGGTTTCCTATCCTTTCTCAGGCCCTTGCGTCCAAAAGGGGTTGGTCTAAAAGTGAGGAGGAGCGTTATTCATATCCTTCTTGGTTGTCATTGCCGAAGAGTATAGATTCTTAGCTCAAGTTTGAATCTAAAATTTGAATCCAGAACAAAGAAGAATTTGGCATTCACACTGACCAGAGAAAGGGGTGCCTAACCCCTTCCCTTTCTCTCTCTCTCTCTCTCTCTCTCAACTTACCCAGATTAGCCTTATCTTGGTTGATTGATATGGAGTCATTAATTCAAAAAGTTATCTGAAATTTAAATCCGAGAGGCCCATCACTCCTAGTAATGTATTCTGATGGGTGGTGACTCCATATATTTGGCCATAAAGTAAACTGGCGAAGGTATTTTCCCGATGTTCACAGTTGTCCATACTAAAATGGACTTATTTTGCTTTAATATAATTCTAATTAGATTTTACAAGAATGAGGCAAATTAGTCCATGTAATGGCCCATCAAACCCATCCATATTTGATCACTTAATCAATGATCCAAGGGGCTATAATCAATTCCCAACCAACCATAGGTTCATCCTATGTAGGTTGGACCAAAACTATGTCAAATCGACCTAGGGTTTGGTGCCCAAAACATGCATCAATCCACCAATTATGATCTAAAAATTCTTAGTTATAATTTACAATAATCTCACCAAATAAATAGTAATTAGTCAAATTAAATAACTAGGGTCGATAGTGTGATGATCCGAATTCATGAATTTAGCATAAATCTTGCCACCATCAAATAATCAAACTGAGCATAAATCTTGCCACCATCAAAGAATTCGATCTCCATCAGACTTTTAGCCCAAGAATTCAAGAATTTAGCATAGAACAATTCTATAATATATCAGAAAAAATAAATATTGATTTTTAGACCATTGGCCCCCAAATCTAATAACCAAATTCTTAGTTTTTCATGTTGATTAGGTCAAATTGGCTTGACTAGTTCTTGCCGATTTGATCTTTCTCTCAAATCCAATTTGGTTCGGTTTAAGAACTGAACCTTTGGCTTTGATACCATTGTTGGAAGGGTTAGAATCCATCTTATGGATGACTAAACCATGAAAAATGATTTGGCAAAATTTCAAAAATTTTCTAACCCTTAGAGGAACCGATTTCTCAGTGTTTTGAAAAACTATATTTTTTTGGATCGATCTTACATTGAATCAGACCAAATTTGAAATCAAATCAAAGAAGGGAAATTGTACCTAATACAAATACCACAAGCACAGATTCTAAGGTGAAAGTTCACGCCCAAATCTGTCCTAAAATCAGCCTCCATTGAAGATAGCGTGTATAGGTGACGTTGGTTCCATAACACTGTTTTCTCCAAAACTGCTATCCAACTTGCCTGGATTGAATGGGGTGAGTGAGCCTGATCTTCTTCAACGTTTTTTCTTATAAAAACTAAAAGAAAAACTTATCAAAAATCAGTTCTTGAAAGCTTAGGTCGAATTAGGGTTTCTTGGAAGATAAGAGAGAAGAAGAGAGAACAAGAGAGTGAAAAGTCATAATCTAGTTCCCCCTCTTCTCTTTTATTTCCTTATAGAGCACTCTCCTAATCTGATTAGGAGATTATCTAAATTTAATTTGGGTCTATACTATTAAGAGATAAGTCTTATCATCTTAAGATGATAGGTGCTCCATACCCAATACCAAACTTAGATTCAACCCAAAGCACATGACAACTTAAGTTGAAATATGACTACTTAATGAATTTTATTAATTATGGGCGTTTGGCCCATTTTCTTTAAAGGCTAAGGACCCAAGGTGTTGTATAGCCACTTTAGGCTTGATATTGTATGGTGTGGGACCCCACAATGACCTTAAACGAGTCTATATGGGTTCGACCGACCCTACCCCTGAAAAGAGCTAGGCCAAATTCATTACTCAAGGCAATGAACCCTTGACCCAATCAGCATTGGTTCAGTTTGGGCCCAACATTTACACCTAAGGATTCAGCTACCCTATGAAGACCCAAGGATAATGGACTCATGTAAGACAAAGCCCATTAGGTAATTAGCCCTGTAATGGTCTCTTACACTTAACCTCTCGATCCATAATGATCAAAACACTCGTTAAGGAAGGACCTCTCCCCTGACTGTAAGGTGCAGTGTCACACTCTCTACTCGGATGGATCCTGGGATTAAAACCTTTTGCAAACCCTTTTTATAATATAATAGTATATAACATATAAATATATTTTGCAAAACCAGATTTCAAATACAAGTGAAATTCACTACTAACAGTTCATGTTTCTATCAGAGAAAGTGTAAACCCTAATATTCACTTTGTCCGGCAAAGGGAGTGATCCTATCACTATGATCACCCACTCAGGTAAATTTTTTGGTTGCCCTAACATACTCAGGTATTTGATCCTTGATAGATCTCATTGGTTGGCATATCAAAGACAACCCAGTCTAACGCCTAGTGCAATACCATAATCAAGTCTAGGGTTATGTGTAACTTTCCAATTTTGCCCATCTATCTCCAAAATCTAGGGCATAACTAGAAATTGGCCTAGGTTCAGTGCTTCTGATAAACACCCACTGGCTGTGCTTAGGGTCTAACCCTAGTAGTTAAGACAATTTACTCCAACTCCTTGGTAGTACACTAGTGTCAACCTTATCAAGATAAACTCCCCAAGTCTATCTAATGGCTGAGAGCATTCTAAACTAAGACGAATCTCTTAAGTGTCCAGTTTAAGAGGTAATACACAAAAACATATCAATATTAACATTAAGCAACAATGTACATATTTATTCATTTACAAATAAATGCTTATATACATCAATCTGATTGGAGCTAAGGACATACACTATCTAACAGAAAAATCCCATGGGTAATTACCACATTATCCAGAATTTGCCTACTAAGGACAAAATGCATTTTGATAGGGAGACACATTTATCTAATAGAGGTTTTAATCCATTTGTCAAAATTTTGGAAATAACTTTGTAGACAACACTACACAAATTTATGGGCTGAAAGTCTTTAACTTAACTGCAATCAAGCCGTTTAGGAATTAGAGTAATGAAAATGTAATTCGGGGATTTAGCAAAACACCCATTCTTGAAGAATTTCTAGACCCGATCCACCAAATCTTCTCTTATTACTTCCCAAAAAGTTAAAAAAAATACAGTCGGGTAACCATCCAGTCCAGGAGCCTTGAGGCTCTTAATGCTGCAAAGGACATCCTTTATTTCCTCTTCTGGGGAGATTATTATGAGGTCTGCAATCTCCTAATCAGAAATAACTGGGGTTAACAACTCTTGGAGATACAATAAAGAACCCAAACTAGAGCCCTACAACTTAGCATTCAGCAAGCCATCTGAGATATGTCAGTGGTTCAATCGTCGTCTAGGTCTAATGAATTAATCCATGATATTATAAAATATACGAAATATACAAAGAAAGTATAAAAATCAGATATTTCTCTAATATTATATATTAATCACATTAAACAAAAAATGTTAACTAAAAAAAATAAATACATAACCCATTCATCAAAGTTGTAAAACAGTTCAACAGTTCAACAGTTCAACTGATCACGTCATTGTGCCATTGACCAAAAACTGTTCCACACTCTAGTTGACCGAACTAATGCTGGCTAATAATATCATTGGACCGGTTTTAGAATGGACCCCGTCCAATCCAAATTGAATTTGGACAGATTGGATGGACCAACAAGACATATTGGATGTCCAAATTATGTATTAGATTGGATTGGACCTGGTCAATTTATATTAGATTAGGTTAGATTAAGTCAATATCTGGTCCATTGCTATAAGATAAGAATATAGATGTCAATGGACTGGATTTGGGTTGAAACCAATCTAAATTAAAATGAATTTGAACAGATTGGACGGTCTAGACATTGAATTGAACCAGTCCAAAATGGTCCAAAATATTCATTGGATTGAATTGAACCTGGTCCACTTATAATGGACTCACATTAGACTGGATTGGATTGGACCAAATCCAGTCTAATTGACACACCTGATTATGCGGTTATTCTTCAGTTAGGTCAGTTTAGAAACTTCAAAAAAAAAAAAATCATATTCAGGCATCAACATTTACAAGGAGAACGAGGCAACAGAATCGAGAGGATAACTCGAACACTACTAGTACAATGCCAAGATTCAAAAGTAAATTGAGTCCTTTGTAATAAAAAGAATCCATTGTAAGATATATCGTAAATATACAACTTCTGATTGTGATGAACTAACGAAGGCTTAAATTTTTCATTCTATCTGTGATGGTAATATGATTTTATTGAATTCAACCAGAACAGACTGAGATTTGTAATGGACAAAAAAAAGGGACAATCACAGCTGCATGGTTGAGCTAGCAAAAATAAATCAATCAACCCGATCCATCCTAAATCTAGAAAGAATCAATGTTATACAGATTAGTATGAATTCCCTTTAGAAGCATAATTTTGACTTGAAACTGCACTTGTTCATGTAAACAACTAGGTAGCTGCAAAATCACAAAGCACAGGGCTTCAGTATCCACAAAATGATAAGGTGTCAAATTAAATGAGACTAAACTTAAGGATTGAGAGGAAGTCAAGAATCCAAGAGAAAAGACGTGCAGTCTATTCAATCAGATGCTTGATGAACAGCATTTTCTTTTTTAAATTCCCCCAAGGCAAAATGCCAAGGAAACTTGTGTTATCAGGTGGGCATTTTCATCAATGCATCTATGGAACCACAGCAGAGGAATTAGGTGTCCGCTGTTTAGTCATTTTTCCGAGGTGGTATTACTGCTCAAGTGGTAACTTACTCAAGTTTCAGTGGCACTCCCCAGATGGAGAAATAATTAAATGTTTGCTTATACATAAGAATGTACGTGACAAACCAGAAATTTAGTTATTTACTTATTAAGAATGGGAAAGAAAAGTCACTAACCAATGAAAACCCTTAAACTATGAATGTTGCGAGTAGTGTATGCATTACAGCCCAATAGATTATAATTCCAAGACGTAGAGCAGGTTGCCTCATTAATGCTCTGTCGCATGAAACCCTGTACATTACAAACAAGAAATACTTGAACTCAGGTCACAAATCCAAATTAAAGTTCTACTGAAGATTAAGTTGGGACAATTAAGTTGTGCCTACCATAAGCCATCAATCATATCAGTTACAGGCCTTGTAAACCTTGGGACAATCTTTGATGTGGAAAGTGACTTGAAACCATGCACTTCAGGCAGAACCAACCAAAGAAGAAAAGAGAATTAGTAAAGAAAAAACATGTACTGTTATCGATCATCCTACAATATTAGTGATTCATGCGAACCAGAATTGGTGCAAAATATAAAAGAACAAAGGGAAGCTAACCTTTGTCATCATCTTCATCATTTAGAACACCATCAGCAGGATCCATGTCTATTCCAATGGCAACTTGATCATTATTAACCTTGCGCAGACTGCGAACATGAGATGCCCCAGTAACTGTCCTTTTGTTTATCTGCAACAAAAGTACAACAGATGTTACTTTATAGAAATAACTACAGTTTATAAATCAGTCTTGAAGTTGGTCAATTTGAAATGAAGGGAAAAGAATTGAGGAAGACAAATCCTCTAGGAACCAAAGAATGGATACCCAATTGCATCATCAAAAACAAATTGCACTAGACTAGACCTGTTCACAGGCTGGGTTTCGGGCTCAGCCCATGAACATTTTACACTACTTCAGGCTAGTGCTTCAGGCCAGACCCATTCAGATTTTAGCAGAGGTTCAACCTGAGCCCGGCCAATCTAATTGTAAATATAGTCTTCATCATACTACTGTTTTCTATTCATCAACCATTCTGCATCGTAATAGTCAATACATATAAAATACATTTTTATGTGAAGTAATGCCTGGAAGACCACAAACTAGATGTGCATATGCTTATTCAATTCTTCTCATATAAGCCTCATTCTTACACAATTCAAGAATAAAGTTACGGATGAATTCGGTGGATCAGTAGATAACATATGGTCAAGACACCTCAAGGAGGATTGGCAAAGGACATGGCTGGTCTCCTATGCACTAGGGCAATTGCCCAGTGAATGAGATAAACATGGGAATTTAAGAAGTTGGGTATTTTCCTCATTCATGTGTTAATTAAAGCAAAATATTTCTCCATCATGTAATACTTTGACAGAGTGAATATATGCAATATTCTACATTTCTGTGAATTGAAATTAGGTGCAACTATGAAATCATATAACTATTCATTTTCAGCCACCTAAATTCATGTTGAGGGATCCAACAGCTGACTAAGTTCACCTAGAACACCAGTAAGTGAAAAAAGGCATGGTGATCTACACAGCCATGCATTTATAAGGAGTCAGGATTCCTATAAGGATCATCTCAAGGTATTATTACTAACATCTTTACTATATAATGCTGATGCTTGTCTTTATTAATTATTATTATTATTATTATTATTATTATTATTTTAAAAATTTGCGTGACTTGGCTGGGCTGGTCAGCATAGCTTGTGGATATCAATTGACCTGCCATGAGGCAGGGGGCCAATGCCAGGGCCATGATTTATAAAACTTGGCCCATTGCTAATATAGGTGATACAGGAGCTGTGTAAGAGTTTAGATAGCCACATTTCACATGAATATAACACCTGCATTTGTATCAACCCAAGACAATCATAATGTCATGTAGAAAACTAGAAATAAATGGTTATGCCAAAAGTTCATAAACCGTACCCTTTAGCTTTATTTTCTTTTTATTTGAAAAAGTGGTGAGGTATTCTATTCATATGAAAGATCATCACCCATGTACAACATGGGACTTACATTCGGGAATATATATACAAAAAGAGAAAAAATCTAAATGGGACATCTAATTACAAAACAGGTCAGGATCAAAAAAGGAGTTGTAGTCTCTTCCTTTGACAAGTTATGTGTGCACAACCAAGAATAATAGCATTTCTTTGATTTTCTCAACAACCATTATCTCCTCACTTGCTTTTCTTTTTTCAAAAATCCACAAATTTCTTTCTTCCCAGATGGTCCAACAAATAGCAGTCAGTATCATTCCCCAAACCACATATGTTTGGAGGATTTATAAATATAGAATCCAAAAGTCTGATTGAAACCTGGCTTATATTTTGAAGCTACGATCATTGTCTGAATAATTATTGGATTAAGCCTAAACAGGTTAAATGATCTGCTGCCTAGCTTCAGTCTAATGTGTAGACCTGTCAGGTGGAATCCTGCCTAAAGTCACAATTGCAGAACTAGCTTGTACTAAAGTCATTTTATCCACTTTTAACTTTAAATAAGAGTTCAATATTTTTCCTTTGAATCCTAGTTTGAAGGCTAAGGTAGAAGTATCTGGATAATTGAGTTTGCTGAGGAAATTTACGGTTTCTCATCATTTTGAGAAAAACATTAGACCCTTAAGTGGGTTGAGATATATTATTTTGAGCTATTCTGGCCCATGGGGTGGAGGAAACTGCTCATGTGCCAAACTTCTATCCCTTTTTACAAGGGCTTCAACTAGTTATATCAATAAGTTGGTAGGGAGCTTTGATAGAAGGTTATTTATTGCAGGGTAGAATCAGTTGGATGGCTTCAAATAATTATAGCCCTTCAGCATTCTTTATATTCAAGAAGCAAAGCCATTGGTATCTGGACTGAACATCTCATTCAATTAGATCCTAGGTTCCTAGATCTGCTAACAACCTAGCTTATCCAATGGAAAGAGATGGGTCAAGTATGGAATGGGGTACTCCAGCACCTGGGGCTGATGAATATGAACTCTTTTTGAGAGTCAGCACATATCTTTGTTTCATCTCCTGTCTTTAGTCACTTTAAACAGAAGGAATTTCGACATTGGATTATGACATGATTGTATTTTCATTTCTTATCTGATCAACAAAGCTCTCTTTTTGTACTTAAAAAAAAAAAAAAAAAAACGAAGAATGTCTTTCACAGCAAGGAAGATGAATTCCTGAAGATTAATCTCAAAATGCACGATGTTCTTCTATGATCATGTCAAGATAAGAAGTCAAACTGATAGGCATAGTTTTATACTTCTTCTGAAGGTTCATTCACAATTCCACATATTCAATGTTTGCTTTGTGCAATGGCAGAACAAGATTTTGTAAATAAGGCTTTATTTAGTTAAATAGAAATGAATTGGGGTGACAAGGTTATTCAAAAGAAACTGGTGTTGTCTTACTAAAAAAGCACAGTTTGATCTCAAACTTTCAGCTCTAACATATATGCGGGAATATTTCATCTTTTTAAGAACACATCACACATGAAAGCTCAGTTCTACTAGTAACATAATTAATAAGTAACTTCCATCTAAAATATGGAGGGAGCAAAAACAACATACATGCAAGTCTTTTTTTTTTTTATCAGTGACATACATGCAAGTCTTCTTACACAAGTCCCTGAAAAGCACTTCATTTGGTATAAGAAAAAGAAAATAGTGCATGAGGAGATGACTTACAAATGGTTCAACCTCCAAAATCTCAGTGGTGGTCATATTGTTTGATGGGCCAGAAACTCCTGAACCTTGAAGCAAAGCCAGTTGGGTTTCCTTCTCTTGTAAAGACCTCTCAAGAGTTTCTTCTTTGTGCAAAAGTTCTTCTATCCTACTCTTTTCTTCTTGTAACAGAGCTTCTTTGCTTTGAGCCATTACCCGTAGATTTTCAGATTCTGACATGATAGACGTGATCTGCTTATCAATAATATCTTTGTATGCATGCATCCGGTTGCAATCGCTATCACCAAGATGTAAATCATGCACCCCAAGACGTGAAATGATCATGTCCAACCATGTCATCACCTCATTGATCTCATCCGAATTTTTCTTGTTATGTGATGAAGCTAGAAGATTATCAGTCAACTTTGTATTCTCTTGACGTAGGAATGATATCTCTGCATCTCGACCTTGCAATTGCGATTGAAGACTCTCAACCTCAGAGAGGAGGCTTTTAAATAGATGATGAAGGTCATCAAACTTGGTCACAGTGATAGAAAGATTTTCCATAGCCTTCGCATGAGAAGCTTCAAGGTTCTCCAAATCTAGATTCTTTTGTTGCACTACTTTCTCCAACTCCTCTATCCTTTTTGTCAATTCTTCCATCTGTAATTCCTCTTCATCAAGTGCTTGCATGAGTGCCTCATTTTCTGCCATGCAACAAATTGTGACCGTCAAAAGATTGCATTGATAAACATCATATATGTATATGTTGTGTGTGTGCAAGACAGACAGACAGACAGACAGACAGAGTGTCATAAACATACCTTGTTCTTTGGAAGTTAGCTTATCTGCTAATAATTTGTTTCTCTCCTGCAATTCCATTGAGGAGGCTTCCTCATGCCGTAGCTCTTTTATCCTCAACTCTAATAAGTTTCGCTGTTCCTCCAGCATCTCTAACTGCTTCTCCAATTTATGCACCTGGTCTTTAGCAGATTCAAGATCTAGTGAGTACCTCCTAGCAACAGCTTCAGCTTCCTTGATTTGACTTACAAGCTCCCCACAGACCATATTACTCTGGATGTCCTTCTCCTGAAGTTCTTTCTGCAGATTAAATATGGTGGATTTCAGATCCTTTTGTCTGTCCTCTAACATACTTGTCAAACCCCTAACTGCTGTTAATAAGCTTTCTGCTATTTTCTTAATGCATTCTTCTGTTGTAACAAGAACTTGTTCATCAACAGGGTCTCGTCCATTGATGTATGTTGGCAATTTCAAGTCCATCCCCATGTTTGCTAACACATTTACTTTAGATTCCAAAACATTTCCAACCATTTGGGTTTTCTGATTCTCAATTTCAAAAATTGAGGTAGTGAATGCTTCATAAAGCAAGGCAACACCTCGACGCATCACAAAAATTTCAGTATCTTGTCCCTTTTTCATCAACTCTGAACAAGTGACGTCTTTCTTCAGGTGTTCCAAGGATTCTTTCTGAGAAACTATTTCCCCATGAAGAGTCTCCATGACTTTAGACAGGCTTACAGCTTGTTGGTCAGCAGAGATGGAGTGTTTGTGAATTTTTTCTTTCAGAGAATCAATTTCTCTATTGCATTCACGCAATCCGTTACCAACATGATGAAGCACTTCATTTATAATGCTCTCATCAAAATGATCCTGCATCTTCATCTCTGAGAAAGTACCAGTAGTAGGAAATTTCCCCTGAACAAGCAAATCAAGATCAGAAAGGCAGATTTTCTATTACTTTGTAGCTTACATATGGAAGCATGTCAGGATTGAGAAGTTGGTACGAACACATCTCATCTACTTCAGTCTATCCAACCAAAAGAAGATTAACATCCAGAGAAAAGAGAGATCCTATACCACACAAAAATAAGTAATAACACTATAAATTTATAGCAAGATGTGGAAAAGCCCATATCAAACAAATGCCAAATTTTACAATGCAACCCTAATAATTAATCTTTCATTAATTTTGTTTTGCTTCAAATTCATGCAGAAGAGATTGAAATGGAATTTTCGACTTTGACAAATAAATACAAATACATATAATAAGCCACATACAATGGTCAAGGAGAATACATTTTTAATTGTACAGAGTGGTGAGAATAGCTTGGTTCTCCGGTGCAGTTTAATGTTTGCACTTAAGAACATTGGGTGTCAGGTAAGAAAGGCAAAAGATTAAAGAGGAGCATTCTACTTAAAACTAAAAAATCAGCTAAAAAGTTGTCTACAGAGTAGAACCTACTCAAATTAATTGGGTAATAAAGGGGAACAAGGTACGAGTTATTTAGTTACTTTATAATACAGAATGCATCTTTATAAACCTAAAGATCCTTCAATAGGAGAATTCCTGTTTCCCAGAAAACCAGAACATAAATGCACATCTAAGTTCAACAAAGCAATGAAGTTGGTGTGTATATGTGTACACCATGTAGTTAACACCAAACAGTTGAATAAAGCTTTGTCGAGTTGGGGTTAGTGGGTATACATTTGGACACTGGGCAGGAATAAAAGGTTTCCTAATAGGGTCAATCTCACTAGACAACCCAAGGTGGAGAAACTATTGTCAATATGAAACCATCCAATAAATAAAGGGGCCCTCTAGATTGTCTGTGTATTAAAATTTTTCCCTAAGCCAAACCAGGAGTTCAAAATTTCATGTGTTAAAATACCGCTAAAAACAATATCCTATTTAGTCAAAGTCAAATTTCTTTACAAATGAAAGATTGAGGGTTGGGGGGTACACAACTAGGAAAAGAAGGAAGAACACAAAAAGATACCTAAAGAGTTGGGAGTCCAATTTCTGGCATCAAGCTTGGAGTTGGAGTGGTCTAAACAAACCAGGTCAAGGGTTTTAAGAAACAGAGCAGCTTGGTCTAGCTCAGAGACTCTCAGATCCCTTCTAAAACCCAGATTCCAACTTAATCCAGAAGACTGGGAGAAAGACAGAAACCTCTGAATGGGTTCATTTTTAAGAAGGGAGAGGGAATACAAGGAGGGAAAGAGGTCCAAGGGTGGAATTTCCAATCCAGGTGTCTTCCCAAAAGAGAACCCTTTCTCCAATACAAGCATCATACCTGATAAGGCTCAGAAAAGGGGGAAGAATGCCATTAATAGCCTTCCACTGAGAGTTCAGAGTAGCCCGCCAAGACACTCCAGCATCCCAACCATTCTCTGCGTGTCCATGAATACTCCCTATAACCTTGTGCCACAGCCTATCCATCTCTAATGGCCATCTCCACAATATTATATTACTATAGAAAAACACTAATACAAGCAAGGGTACAGGGCAGATTTAGACTAGAGGACTGAACAGGTGGCACATAGAGAGGTCCTTTATGTGGTGGGTAATTCAGATCAGTACATCTATCCACACAGCAAAAATAGAGCAGGCTTTATAGGAAAGCCCCCTAATCAACCTAATAGATAACATTTCTCCTATTTACTATATATGACATATGAGAGTGGACTGGCTAGTCTGGTCATTAAAGAAGTCAAAATGGTCCAGGATGACAAGAAGGTTGGAGCCTGAAAAGGGCCTCACATATCCCACTTATGACACTATAGTTCATTGGAAAATTTCAGCCCAAATACCCTTTAACATATAACCTGAATAAGCACTTTCCTACACTTAATTAAAAATTAGGAACTTTGGTTGGCTAATCAATCTGTATGGCTCCGCTTGAGAAGGGCGTAAATACAAATATGTTCAGTTCAAATACAAATTGTCATTTTCATGAACCTTGCACATTTGTATTTGCACTGAACATATTTCTATTTAAACTCTTTCCAAATGGAGCCTATAGGAAAGCCTCCTAATCAACCCAATTCGGGAACTTTTTCCTATTTAGTATATAAGACATATATGAGACTGGACCGGATTGTCTGGTCATTAAAGAAATCCAAATGGCTCAGGATGATAAAAAGGTTGTGGTGTGAAAACAGCATCATGTATCCCTCTTAAGACACCTTATTCAAGGGAAAATTTCAGCCCAGACAACCTTACATAATAGACAGAATAGGCTCTTCCTGCACACTCCATTTATTAATGTTAAATTAAAAATTAGAAACTCCAGCTGAGCATGATGGATGGATACAGCAGGCTGAATAGGAAATCCCCCCAAGTGATATATAGAAAGATATGGATGCAACAGTTCATGATATAAATAAATTCTTCCATTTGCTTTGCTAACCCTTTCTCAAGTACAGCAGTCAGATTAGCGCTCATTTTTGCTCTTTTCTTTCTCCCCCATAATAATAATTCCATTACTTATTCAAAAATAAAGGAAAAAGAAAAGGAACTTTATTCTTTCAGAATCAATGTTGATCCTTATAAGGATGGACAAAATCTTAAGCCCCTGATAAAGACAGAGCAAATCCAACTGCATACACAAAAAGCACCCAAATTTGATAGGAACCACTTGTCGTAGGCTACTAAATAGGATGGAGAATCACCCATAGGCATCCAAAGTAGTCTTTCTAATTTTTCTTCTTTTACTGAACAAAGGTAAAGTATATTGTATTAAATCAAAAAAGTATATGGTCCTCTGTACAATGAGTTTCTGTACATGTATAACAGAAAAAGAATTCCTCATGCTTGATCATAGAACCGCATTTTGTGTTATATGTCCCATGTCAAAAAAAGAAAATATATGTATATCAAGACCATGATTTTGTATTACAATTTCAGACTAGGCCTTATAATCAATCCTATTTCATCTCTATCCCAATTTTATATTGTATTGCCCCTTAAATCCTACCTATTTCTGGCCATTTTTTTATTATTTGATCAATGCCAAAATTAGCACGCCATATTATTCACATACCAATGAGGTCTGAAACCAAAATGGAATTACAATATTTATGAAATTCCATCAGATCTTTAACTCTTGAACTGATGCAAAACAAAAAAAAAGACAGTCCAATAAAACACATCAAAAGACAAGCAAGGTAGACAACAATACAACAAACTGAAAAATGTGCAGGCAAGAATGGAAATTACCTCTTCCATTGAGTTGCTGGAAAGAAATCCATGAGATGACTTGAGAGGAGAGAAAAGCACATTATTGCTATTCATTTGTTTCAACAATGTGCTCATACTAGCATCTACATCATTTAAAAGCCCCAACTCCTTGATAAGAACATCTTCTACCAATTTTTTAACACCAAAGCATCCATTCCTGAGTTGATCAATGGCAGCTTTCAACTCCATAGCTTCTGAATACTGGTTCTTTCTTTCTTCTGAATGAAGAGTAATCAACTTTTCAAGATGTGAAAGGGCTTCATCTCTTTGAGAAACCATCACATCTCTTTCCTTGGAAACTTCTGCAAGAAAAGCCTCTGCCTTTGCTAACTCCTCATGTAGGCCATCAGCCCTTTCATTGACCTCATTCAGCTCTGCTAGAAGCAGTTCAGTTGCCCTTTTAGACTTCTTTGCTTCATGCTCTGTTGATGCTAAAGCTGCATGCAAATCATGATACAGTTTCCCTATTCCTTCCAGCTTCTGTACAGGATCAATGACACTAAAGTCACCCTCAACAGAAATTCCATGTAAAGTATTTAATAACCTGTTCAAGGTCCGATTGCTATCCTCCAAATTGTGCTCAGTCTCTGACAGACGATTCCTTAAGAACAAACTCTCAGATTCTAGAGTCTGTACCTTCTCTGCATAGGCAGACAATTCTTTTATTCTCTGTTCATAATGCACAAGAACATCTCCCCGATGGTTAAGCTCACTCTTTAAGTGTTCCATCTCAGTGTTCATCGCTTCAATGGTTTGTTTTAGACTGTCCCTCTGTTGCACCAACCCCTTCCCTTTCCTAACTGCAACATTTAACTTCTCTCTTGTGGAAATCAACTTCTGTTCCTCCTGATTAAGTCTCTCTTTCAGGTCATCTCTTTGTGCATTTAGCACATCAACTTCAGAAATCAAAGATTGAAGCTTCTCCATAGTTTTGTCCCTCTCCTCCTTCACATGAGACAGATTACTCAAAGCCTCCTCAAGTTCTTTCTTATAAACTGTCATATTCAGCTCTGCGGAATCTAATACATCTTTACCTCTCCTTTCATAGTTTGATGCATCAACTTCTTTCGGAACAATTTCCTTCACTGTGCCTTCAAGTGCTGATTTATCCATGGAGAGGGCTCTATAGTTGTCTATAAGCTTCCTCAGAAATCCTTCTAGACATTCAGTATTACTACTGCCAGGCACCATGTGTTCTGTACCATAATCCTGCAGTACATCACTAATTAAAACCTGCAATCTCCTAATCTCATCCTCCATATGGCGATGATACTCCTCAATCTCAAGCTTCTGAACCAACTTCTCTTGCAAACCAGTTAGTTCATTCATCAAATTATATTTCTCAAGTTCATATTGAGTCGCTTTCTTGGAGACATTTTCAAGTTCAAGAGTGAGAATTTCCAGATTTTCAGAAAGGAGGCCCTTTTCATGAGTAACCGCTTGAAGTGTCACTTCAAGCTCAGATATTTTCCTTTGCAACTCTTCCAAGTCAGCTGTGACTGACCCACAATGACTTTCAAGGTTCCCAATCTTCCTCTGGAGAAGATCCTTATCTTGGTAAACCTCAGAGAGTGCACCTCCTAACCACTCAATCCTATCTTCTGGCTCCATCGACCGCAACTGCAAGGGCATATTTATCCTGTCCAAGATTTCTTCCCACCTTTGCACAAGGTTGTTCCTTTCCATTAATGACTGTTCCAGCATCTCATTTTGCTCAGCCAAGCCATAGAACTTATTCTGAAGCTCCTCATATTTTATTCTCAATTCATCAGCTGGATTTGAGCTCTGCTGTACATCTTCTTTCCAGGCATCCATAACAACAAAACCTGCATCAGAATAAGACCCACCACCTACAGAACTTTTCTGATCCCAGTCAGCCAGAGGCAATGAGTTCCCCATTACTGATCTTACCAGCCACTCAATCTTCTCAATTATATCTCTGGAGTGAAAATGCTCTGGAAGATCAAGGTCTTCCAATAGCTCTTCTATCCTCTGAAGAATGGAATCTTTAACGAGAAAAGATTCTCTTAATGCAGTAGCCGAGTTCCGAATGTACGAGAGTTCAGATTCTAGAGCTTCGACACGCTCACCTGCCTCAGAATAAGCCTTAAGTTTTATCTCAGCCTCATGAAGCCGAGTGTCTTTCAACTGTAATTCCTGTGAGCACCTCTCAAGTTCACTGGATGTCTCTGCCAATGACTGTTTTAGACCGTCTCGCTGTGTGATCAAGCCTTTGCCTTTTGCAACAGCTATACTAAGTTTCTCTCTAAGAGAAGATACCCTCTGCTCTGACTGCTCTAGTTCAGTTACTTTTGCTTGTAAATCAGTACATACAGCTTGAAGGGCCTCCTCTGTCTTGCTTAAACTTCCCTTTAGAAGGTGAATTTCATCTTCTTGTTGAAGATTCAAGGAGCTTATTTCAAGCATCCTTCCCTTCAGTTCATTCAGTTCTGTTACCTTAGACTCGAAACTGTCCTTTGACAAGCTGACCTGCTCACTAGCTTGTCTGTACTTTTGGATAAGAACAGCAATTGAAGACCCCAGGAGTGAAACCGGTGACTTATCTGAGTCAATCTCCCTGGCTTCCGCCTTAATTATGCCCTCAACATCTTCAACCAACTCAAGAACAGCTTTTGTGTCAAGGTTGCTTTTATTCATATCTTCAAGTTCTTGTGTTCGCTTTGTCAATTCCAACTCGAGCTCATTCTTTGCATTCTCCAGTTGTAGCCTCTCATCTAGCAACTTGCCCAACTGTTCTATGAGGTTGCTTTTATTCATATCTTCAACTTCTTGTGTTCGCTTTGTCAATTCCAACTCGAGCTCACTCTTTGCATTCTCCAGTTGTAGCCTCTCATCTAGCAACTTGCCCAACTGTTCTATGAGGGCTTCATAGTGATTTGGTTGTAAAGGATCAAGCAATATTACATCATTCATATCCATATCATTTTCTTCTACATCTCCATGTGAGGCATTAATAAGTTCTCTTAGATCTCCATAAATTCTATTTAATAGCACTACAGCCAATTCGTTTCTTCTATGCAAATCAGAAAACTTTTCACTTAATTCTTCATGTAAGCAACGTGTCACTTCATGATCTGTGCAAGCTGATTGAAGTTTCATATGCAGATCCTCAATAACTTTGATCGCAGCATTTACAGAAGCAGAAATACGGGAATCTACATCAAAACCATCAGAAAGGAACATCGAACCATGGGGAGGACAGAATCTTCCAATAGATGCATCAAGCTCCTCAACTGTCTTGTAAATTACAGCAACAATAGAGTTCCATTCTTGATCAACAATGGATGCTTTCTCATCCACCTCCTTCTGCAGATTTTCTACTTGACTGAACATCATGGCTGCCATCTCATCTAAACTTTGCTTTACTTCATGCAACTGGCTCTGCAAATCACCAATTCTTGATTGATATACAGCTAACTTTTCATCCACCACATTTTCCAGGTTTACTACTTGACTGAACATTGTGGCTGCTGTCTCATCTGAACTTCGCTGTATTTCATGCAACTGGTTCTGTAAATGACAAATTCTTGATTGATACACAGTCAGCTTATCAACAAGCTCACTGTTTTTTGCTTCAAGATCCCCGACTTGTTGCTTTAAAGCATTGCAGAGAACCTTAAGTTCACTGTTCTTTGTTCCAAGATTATTGCTTTGTTGCGTTGAAGCTTCATATAGTGCCTTCAGCTCCTTGTAAGCAACAGCAGATAGTTTCTTATTGTTTTGCTCTTCCTTGAATAGTTCATCAACCTTGATAAAATTAAGATTCAACTCCTTGAGCACATCTCTCATGTGGCCAATTTGCACCTTTGCCAATTGAAATGGATCTGGTGCTGATCGTTCTCCTTCAAGCAGAGGTACCTCTTCTGGTTCACTGTCATCTTGGTGAACTTTCAACTCAAATGCTTGAATCAATTTTGATACTCCAGCGGACGACGCTATACCACCTGATCTACTTAAGGATGTTGACTGAGAGTGCAACCCTTCAATCGCCTTTTCAAGTTGCATAATTATTCCCTCAGCCTCCTCCACCAGCTTCAAGTGATCCATCAATTCTATAGTTCCAACAGAAACATCAACCACTTCCTTTTCCATAATGCTCAAGTCTGCAGATTTCCCCATGACACCAGAAGCAATCTCTCCATCACATTTTTCCTGAATTTGCTGAGAAGTTTCATCTAAAGTTGAATTATAATGACCCATGCTTAGCATATCAGAACTGTCTAGCCGATTTCTACGTTCTCCAGCCTGACTGATTGGTTGCATAGCATTAATTTCTTTCGTCTTAGCTTTATGCATCTCTAGGCTGCTTGAAAGAAACACATTTTCTTCAGTGAGTTGTTCAAGACGTCCAATTGCTTCTTTATGATCAACCTCAAGCTGCTTGTATTTACCACATTCCTTAGCTAGCTGATCTTGATAAAGAGCAAGCTCAGCTAAAAATTTCTCATGTTCATGTGCAAAATACCCTTTCTCCTGCTCAAGCTTCTTGTTCTTCTCTGTCAGTGATGTGAGACTCCCATTTAAGTTGGCATTTTCAACAGTGAGTTGTTCAAGGTGCACTATTGCCTCTTCATGGTCAACCTCAAGTTGCAAATATTTACCAGATTCCTTATCTAACTGTTCCCGATGATCAGCAAGCATGGCTAGGAGTTTCTCATTATCATGTGAAAAATACCCTTTCTCCTCTTCATACTTATTTTTCTCCTCCATAAGTGACATAAGGCTCCCATTTAAGTTGGTATTTTCCACAGTAACTTGTTCAAGACGTGCAATTGCTTCTTTAAGGTCAACCTCAAGTTGCATATATTTACCACGTTCCTTCACCAACTGTTCCTGATGATCAACAAGATCGGCTGAAAGTTTCTCATTCTCATGGACAACATGCATTTTACCCTCCTGAAGCTTCTCGTTCTCCTCTTTCAGCGATGTGACACTCCCATTTAAGTTGGTATTTTCCTTTTGTAAAGATGCCACTAAGCTTTTGAGTTCATCCAACTCTGCCAATAGAACCCCATAATCCTCCTGTGATCTTTCCAGTTTAGCCTGCAAATCATGAGCCCTGGAAGCAGTTTCCTCAATCCCTCCTCTTGCAGTGAAAAGTTGTGTTTCAAACTGCTCCTTCTCCTCTACTCTCACAGCCTGAATATCAGATTTATACTCTACAAGTTCGTTATTGAGACTTAGGTTGGCTTTCTGAGTTTCTTTGAGTAGAGCATTGAGCCTGCAAACTTCGTCAACCAACTGACAATTATGCTGATCAAATTCAAGTTGTAGCTCGATCTGTTCTGCCAGTTGCAATTGGAGGAGTTCTTTTGCAACATATGTGAAGTAAAATTCCTCCTTAAAACTCTCTAAAACATCAGCAGAGCCACCTCTCAGCACAATGAAATTACTCACATCCCCTTGATCTGAATCCCTCCCTATTACTTCCAAGGGCTTTTGATGAATTTTAGTAGCATGTAAACCAGCTCCACCAGGAAAAGCCAGTTGTTCATTTACTTCATGCATTTTCATTCCTCGTTCCATATCAGGTTGAACCCCTTCTTTCCATTCACACACTAGATCACATGATGCTGATAAACTTCCCAAATTATTTTTGTGAGAAGAAGCTGCAACTAGATCTTCCTTCTGCACTTCTGATATCAATAGAAGATCAGAAGCTCGGGTACCTTCTTGCTTGTGAGTTGTCTCAGTGGAAATAGAAATACCACCCATCCCATGGATTGGCTTTCTCGTGTCTTCCCCATCTGGAACTGCCATTGCAAGATTTTCACCACTTCCCTCATACTTGGTTTCAAGAACTCCCCCATCTATTTCATGCTCTACCTTCACGTATCCAACTTCTGAACTCTCATCATCATGTAAATATTTTTCATCATTCCCATCATATTGATTTGAACCCGAACCAGCAGCTTCCTGCATTGCCCCTACCCAGCAACAAATGAGAATTTAATTATACATCAAATTCAAAAATTACATTTTCTAATCTGACCAACTTATCCTGCTTACTTTTAATAGAAACAAAAAATAAGACATTGATGAACAATAAAAGAAATCGAGCAAAACCTATTTCCCTTACCTGATCTTCCCTTGAATTAATCATCGACGAATAGGTTTCTGCCATTTTGACTGCAACAGCAACACCCTCAGTAGTTTCCACTGTAGCAGGTGAAGTCAGCAACTCAACAGACACCAGCTTTGCATCATTGACAGACTCCCCTCCCACCACCATTTCCACGGGTGGAGTCCCTGGTGAATTAACCCATGATGCATCAGCCTCAAAAGAATTAAGTTTACCCGTAACAAGTGCAGATGATGGATCAACTCCAGGTTGTATTTTAGCATCAAGGGTTGGCAAAGTTTCTTCCTTTCGCAAATCAACAGATGCCAATACAGAACCACTAGCTGATAAACTTTCCCCTCTGTTCAACTCTGCTCCAACAGATGAACCCGATGACTCAAGTGTTGACATATCAGTATCAAGAACAACTGAACTCCCCACAGAAAGTGACAACGACGAATCAACAGAGTCCACATCAGCATCTTGAGGTGACAACGGATCCCCATCAGCCAAGGCCGAGGCTGACGGTTTATCAGCAGCTGATGCGAGTTCAGCATGCACCTCACGTTCGGACTTACTACTCTTACGAGTAGATTTTCCTTGGCCACTCCCTTTAGTCCCCTTCGTCTGCCTATATTGTTGGAACTGATACACAAAATCAGAGAGAAGGTTAAATTCTGATCTCCCTTAATTCACAGGCTCCCCAGCTACTAAAACCAAAGCTTAATTGAATTAAAACAAAACCTAGGTTTTCCAATTCAGAAAATCTTCAGATATTACACAGATCCAGAGTTCAAAAATATCGACAGTAACCTTTTTCATCCCCGCGGCGAGCATATCGTTCTTCTTTTTATTCTTCTCCATCTGATCTACTCCGTAATCAATCCCTCGTCCACACCACGTATCAATAACAACTCATCCTCCCCATCAAATCTCCACTCTTAAGCACAAAAAACAATAAAAACACTTCATATTATCAAAAATGTAATCGAACAAGGAAATCAAACAAAACCCTAATTCAATTCAAGGGCTTCTTCAACAGTTTCAAAATAAACATTCACACTCCTAATCCTTCTCGAACACTACGAAAATTTTGAAAAAAATATATATAAAAACTAAAAAATGCAAATAAAAATAACAAGGAAAGACACCATACCTCGATCCAATACAGAGTAGAACGAGGGAAGAAACCCTAATTTTCCTTCTTTTTCTTCTTCTTCCTCGTCGTCGTCGTCGTCGTTATTCTTTTGTTCTTGCCTTCGCTGTGTCGGTTGATTATACTCTGTGAAAGCTCTCTTCCTCTCTTAGATCTGACGCAAGCCTTCTGGTGAGATTTTGTTTGTTTTTTTCCATCGAACAGAGGCAAAACCATGGTCGTTATTTTTTTTTTATCCGGTTCGGGTAACGGTTAAATTAGGGATCAAACCCATGAAGGCATGAAGCGACGGTTGGGATTGTTATCATTCGTCAACGTCAATAAAGAAGAATAGATGCGGTGGGTTTGGGCTTTGGGTTGTTGGGCTTGAAAAGTAAGGGCAATGGGCTAAAATATTTGAGCCCAGATGATGAATCCACTATGTATTTGTTTGTATTCATAGTGGGCTACAATTGTGAGCCTACAAATACCACTCAATTAAACATATTGATTAAAGTTTGACTTGATTAGTGAAGATTACAGATTTTGATCTATCACATCTTGATAGAGGTGAGCATTTGATTTATTTGGTAAAAAATTGAACCGAATAAATCAAAATAGAATAAATTAAAATCAAAATAACTAAATCAAAAACGGATTTTTATATATTGATATAAAACCAAATTTTATTTATTTATTATTATTATAAATGAAATTTGGTTTTTCCAATTAACTGAATTAACCGAACCGAAATTCCCTAAAATTGGAAATTTTAGTTCGGTTTTAACCAAATGATACTCACCCCTATCTTGAGGGAGTTTCAACTTGTACCTAATTAAGAAGCTCACAACCTACTTAATGACTTATTCGCTATAAATAGATATCTGAATCCAATTCAATAGAAATTCGAGAAATCCAAACTCATCTCATATTTTGATGGATATGTAAAATATATATTTGAGTTTGATATATTTACATATCCAGAATTGTAGATATATTTGATTTGATTAAGTATCAATTAATTTATGAAAAGTTAGCATAAATTTATAAAATTAAATATCTATATTATATAAAATAAATACTTGTCTTGGTTTCCATGCAGGTCATCCAATTGATAGGGGCTGCACAAACGCATATCCCTACTACCACAAATTATGACGTACACTCTCCCACTTGGGGAGATGTTAGGCGGGCACCCCTCCCTTGTGCAATGGAGGTTGGCAACCTAAGTCATAGGCCTTCTTGATCACCCATTGACTCCGCCTCTATCTATCTATCTATCTATTTATCTATCTATCTATATATATATATATATTGGATTACATGGTTTGTTTATTTTTCATTTTATAAACATATATTATCAAAGAAAATGGCATTTTGTTTACATTAGACATAATATGTTCAGTTGCTTAAATCACTATTTACTACTTATATTTGTAGTTAGCTATTTGCATCCATTAGGTTTTGGCAATGGGTCCCAATAGGTTTTGGTTGAATTTGTGATGCAGCTTCTAGGTATTATTTGCTTCAAAGTCAAATGTTTCAAGCAGTATTATTTTTCTACTGAATATCATTTTGGTTCAACTAGGACAGTTTGCTGAACTGAATGACTTATTAATTTTTGTTTTAGCTGATAAAATAGTAATGTAACAAAATGTTAAAGGGCATGGTAATTGACCCCACGTATCATTCAGCCATTAAGGAGATCATAACCTACTTAATAGCTTATCCACTAAAAGACAATGTATACAACCATTCAATTTAAGAACTTCAACCATTATCAACATTAACAATATTGTAACTGTAGAAAAAAGTTTTCTATTAGGTTAATATAAAAAACACACAAAGAAGAAAAGGAAAAAGTCATTTCTCTACACCAAGATAACATACAAGTTTAAAAAACAAGCATTATGCACATGGATTTATATGAAAACCATCAGCTGGAATCAATACTAGCAATTGAACAATACTTCTCTTTTTTATACTGGTTGCCATTTAGATCAAGTTAATTGATGGAAATTGGTAATCTATTCAGATGTGAAAACTTAAAACCAAACAAAAAAAGTAAGTAAAATCTAAGGGCCCATTCATCTTTTGTATTTTGAGAGGGGGGAAAGTTGGTTAATGGGATTTTGGTTCCCATTGATCAAGATATTCATGTTCTTTTTTCATATTTATGTGGGGTCTATGGAAAATTTATTTTCCCTGGGTATCACTTACTAAATTTTCCATGGTATCCATCTCCCAAGTGGATAAGTAACTTTCCCACCTTGTCAGGAGAGGGGGGTGAATTTTCCAACACTTGGACGGGACAAAATTGCCCCTTTTAATAATGGATTTTTATGGCTAAAATAGTCATCGTCTTATTTACCTAGGAAATATAGCATGTAAGTAACTTCCAGAAAGTGAACATGGCCTAAATTTCTAGTTCATACAAAGTTCTTGATGGTCAAATTTATTTTATGTTATTTTCAATGACAAAATCAATTTAGAATTTTATTAAGCAAAAAAAAAAAACTACTTAAAAAAACAACTTTAAGACTTGAAAGGACAGATGAAATTTACAATCTTAAATCCCATGGCATAGAATATGAAAACTTTTGCACTAACTAAACATGCAAATAAAAAAAGAAATATTTTTGCATTCCTACAAAAATGCCCAAAGGCATTGATCCAAAAGAAAAAGAAAAACCTAGAAGGCAATAAGAAATTACAAAAGGTGATCATGAAAATAAATACCGATTTCTTTAAAAAGGTGGGGTATCCAATATATGTAATGATAAAATGGAGAGTATAGATTTTTCAGCCACATGGTTTGGTTAATAATGTGAGGCCATGTGATGCAGCCCAATTGCCAAGAGAGTGATTGTTTAAGCTACTATCAATGTTTATTGATTCGGTTTGCACCTAAGGCTGCGTTTGGAAGGAATGCAAATGCAGAACCATTGCAAATTTGGGCTCCGGTTCAGCTTTGCATCTGTTTAGTAAAGGTTCAAATATCCTTCGCTTTTTCGATGTAAAAATGCATATGGGCCAGGTTTGTATCGAAAATAATTGCAATTTCCGCTTTCATAAAAGCAAAGCAACCTTTGTTATCATTCTCGGTCGAACCAAATAGCATGTTGTCTGCATTTCTAAAGATCTAACAAGAGAGAGAGAGAGAGAGAAGGGGGGGAAGGACAACTCTGAACTAGAACTCCACTATAAGATCTTCTGAAAAAGCTTGTGATCGAACAACTCCAAATTGGAACTCCACCATTCAGATCTTCTGAAAAAGCTTATGACCGAACTACTCCAAGTTGGAACTCGACCATTCCGATCTTCTGAAAAAACTTGTGATCAAACTATTGCCTTTGATCTCTAAGAGAGGCAACTTTGTTCTCGCTCAATATGGCATTTGATTTTATTTTTGGTTTCTCATTTTATTTTATTTTTTCTTCTTTTTCAAGTCACCTACCTTGTCAGAAGAGAGGTTCAACCTTGTTTTGAAAATCCATTGGAGTAATTGAAGTATCTCAAGCAAAACCCTCGTTAGGAGCTGAAATCAGCCCCCCACAAGATAGTTTCCCACGTCCCACAGCACATCCCCGCCATGTATTGGGAACATCTCCTGGTGATGTCTCATCATTTCTGATATTATCATTGGGAGATATTCCCAATATACAGTAGGGATGTGCAGTGGGAAACTATCTATCTTGTGGAGGGCTGATTTGAACTCCCTCGTTAGTCATAAACCTAAGAAGATTTTTCTATGTTTGTGTATTTCCCTTTTCCCAACCTAATAGAAAAAGGAAGGAGAGGGTGATACAGTAGTGAACATGTGGGGATAAAAGTCATTGAACTATTCTAGTTAATCATTCCATGTTGTAGAGAACTTCCTATACAAAAAAAAAAAAATGCATTTGAATATATGATCCTAACAAATAATTAATATTTATTGATGCCCAAAGATTACAAAAATTTTTGTGCCCAAATACACCAAAAAGGAAAATCTTGGTGAAATATGCCCCAATACCAAAAAAAAAAAAAAAAAATCCTAGTTATCAAATGCTTTGAGAAACAAGTCAGACATTTATCAAAAAAAAAAAAAAAAAGGCCAGACTCCCATTAGCAAATTTTTGGATCCAATCATAGCGCAAAGTTGTACTGACCAAATTGATTGGTTGATGCTCTATTCTAGCTAGACAAGAAAAAGAAAGAATGGAGTAGTGGAGGCTAATTAGTAGGAATGGCAACGGAGCGGGGTGGGGACAGGGAGCCTCTCCCCACCCCCGTCTCCGGGGACAAGGTTATCCCCATCCCCACAGGGATCTCATCCCCGCAAGGATTCCTATTCCCCGTAATTTCCTACTAATTAGTTTTGTAGGGGTGCTTGGCACATATACAAACTAAATGCTATTATTTACTAGAATTAATAGAATCACTACTTAGTTATTAATAAAAAAAAAAAGGAACTCTAATCCCTGATCAACCATGATTTCCTATCAAATATTAGGCTTTCTAGCATGATAGACAAGGAGAGAGGACCCAAGGAATAAATGTTTGCATTCATGATGATACTCCTTTTTTTTCCATTTTTGGTCAATAATGAGATGATAGGTTTCATTAAATACAAATCTATGAAATGTTTACATTGGAGAACAAGGTGACATCCAACTGTAATGTATAATACCATACAAAATACAGAGATATTTCATCAGTTCGTCATAATTTCCACCTAATTCTTGTAGAAGTTTGCTTGCATCATATCTTGAACTCTTTATGTGTGGATGCCCAAAATTTAATAAGAGAATATTATTAGAGAATTTGGTAAAATAGTGTCATTGAGAAATCTTCAAAAATTCTTTTATTTTGTTCATCCAAAATACCTAGAATATAACAAACTAATTCTCCATTTCGTGGTTAGTTGAATATACTATTTGAAGGAGAAGTGTGTGTTCATTCTATGGCATATATGGAAGAAGAGAAATAGGAAAATGTTTAAAAATAAAGAGGATGATCCATTTCTTATTGCTGCGAAGGCGGGTAAGGCATTCTCAGAGTATCAAAAGCTTATTGATAAGACAGGTCCCACCATAGAAAGGAAAAAATGTAATCTTATTGCATGGATCCCCCCAAGTATGGTGAAATTAAGATCAATTTTGATGCCTCTCGATTAAGGGATGGTTTTGGTTCCGTTGTGGAAATTGTTAGAGACCATTTGGGGAAGGTCTTGGATTTCAAATGCTCAACTATTGGCACTAC